TAGGGTATTTTGTCTCCCGATACTTAAACAATTGGTTTCTTAAAGCCTCATCAAAGGAGAGCCTTATAAGGGACATACACATTAGATTTTCCCTTTTGGAAGGTTACGACTCTTGATAGATATGAAAAAAAACCCTTCTCTTTCCTAGTCAAAGATTCCATTCATAGGAGCAGTCCTTGACTCACAAGTAGGCAGAGCATTCCTGTCAATAGAGAGCTTTCTGAAACTACTCTCCTCCATATGGCTATTACATCAAAATCCTTCTCAAAAGATCACTTTCTTTCTGCATCTGTTGGGTCTTATGCTCTTGCAACATGCATCACAACTTATTCCACATTCAGAAAGAGGCCTGTTCAGCATTGGGATGGTACAGAACTATGACGTACCCAAAGATGACATTTTTCAGGAGGATTTCTATCCCTAAAGAAATTCTTTCATCTTTGTCACTGTGGACCTACCCAGAGAATGTTCTGAAAGAGGCATGTTTCAATCCCCCAACTCCTTAATTGAAAATCACTTTGGAAGCTTCAAAGACTGATGAGGGGGCACAACTTGACTATCTCTTAGTTCGGGACCATTGGAGTTACCAAGAAAAGATATTACATATGAGGGTACAGTAATTGAGAACTATCTGTTTAGCTCTCAAATCATTACTACCTCACATCCAGAACAAAGCAATACAAGTCATCATGGGCAACAAGACAACAATATTTTAACTGAAGAAGCAGGGAGGAGCTCACTTGTTTCAACTGTACAAGGAGATGATCAAGTTATGGGACTGCTGTGTCCACTTCAACATCTACCCAATTGCCTTGCTCTTAGCAGGCAAGGAAGTGACAAAGTTGGCCAACTCAGCAGAGATCTGATGCAGGTGCATTAATGGTCTCTAAAGGACTCGGTAATGTAGGATGTATTGAATGTTTTTGAGGTTTCTGGACATAAATCTCTTTGCCACAGCCAGAACAAGAAGTGCCCTCTTTTCCACTTGAGAGAGGGGAGAGACATTCTCCCAATGTCGGATATGTTCCTTCTGAATTGGTGGATGGGCCTGTTATGTGTTTTCTCCTCTTTTACACTTTTTTATACAGTGGGCCAGGATAATCTCAGTTGCTCCTTCATGTGAGACACAACAGTAATATACAGACCTTCAACTCTCCAAGGGGATCTACGTACTTATGCCAGTGATGCCAGGCATACTTCTGCAACAGGACAGGAGGATTTATCACCCGAACGCTCTTTCGCTACATCTAGCTCGATTGGCTTTAACAGATGTTGAAATATCTTGCACTTTAGACGTGCAGCAAATGTTATGAACATAAGTGATGTAGATTTGTGAAGTGGGTAGCTGAAAAACATATAAATCCTGTACAGGCACTAATTCATTGTATCCTTGAACATTTACTGCATTCAAAGTCTTTAGACCTATAACTACCTTCTCTGAATGCATTTAGCTGCAGTAGCAGCCTATCACATAATTATAGATTTAAAAAAAAAAATCTTGGCACGTGACACAATTAAAAAAAATGTATTGACCAGTAAAGGACACAGTTTTAGTTTGGTCCTGACACAGCTCATGAGCCCTCCTTTGGAACTAATAGCAGATTGCTCTTTATCTTTATGAAACATAGTAAAAGGTGAGTCTGTCATGGGACATACAACTTGCTAATCCATCTTGCTGATGTAATGGCTATCATAAAAGCTGTTTTAACAGACAAATAAAATAAAGTTGTACTTGGACCTCATCCTAGATTCCTTCCTAAAGTGGTTGTTGAGTTTCATATTAATCAATCGGTCAGTATGCTGGTTCTCTTTCTGAGACCTCGTGCTCATAAAACATAATCCAAACTACATACTTTAAATGCTATAAAAGTGCCTTAGTTTACTATCTAAATAAAACAAGAAAATTTTGACACTCTCCTAAAACTTTTTATATCTTGTGCTAAAAGCCATAGAGGTCAGGATATTTCTGCTCAATTGTTATCTAGAGGCTGAGATAGTGAACAGAACAGGCATATAATCAGAAATCATCAGTTCCTCTTTCTGCTGGAGTTAGGCCATACTCAACTAGAGCAATATCTACCTCTATAGGGACATGTTCCCATTGTTGAGCTCTGTTCAGACCTTTACAAAACACTATTAATTAGATTTGACATCTGAGTCAAATGCTCCATTCGGTAGGGCACTTCTGTATTTACTTAATTAGACCCTCAAGTCCTACTACCTGGTCAGGCATACTGCTTACTAAAGTATCCCATGCGTGGCAATGTGCAGAGTACATATGAAGAAGAAATGGAGGTTGCTTACATTTTTAACCAGAATTCTTTGGGATGGACTCTGCATATTCACACTCTTGACCCACCTTCCCCTTTTCTTCAGAGTCCTAATAAGATATTAACGCTGCAGAAGCTGTGAAAGGACTGAGGTGTCAGGAAGCACCTTGCGCTTGGAATGCTCAGGAATGGTGAGGGGAGGAACCAGGAGTGCTCTAACAGGCACTGCAAAGAGTAGATTCCACCATTGCATCTGCACCAGCCAGTGCATCTCATGAGTGTGAATGTTCATCTTGAAGAACTCTGGTTGCAACTAAAAAATTGAATTTATTTATTTATTCATTCAATCTTCATAGCTTATGAAGCAGAGACAAATGGAGATTACTTACTTGCAATGTGCCTCAAGTATGTACCTCTTTTAACAAAAAAAATTCTGAGTTCTGTTGTGGTTGTGAATTTTCAGCAGTGACCAGATAGTGTTAATTCCTTAATCTTTTGCAGAACTATGATTGTTCATAGAATTTTAAATGTTAATTTTTGTCTCAAAATATTAGTGAACTATGATTTCATTAGAAATCAAGACAAACAGAACTAAAAACCCCTGATAAAAGGCAAAATTTTCTTACCCCTAAACGTTTTACCTCCAATGTACAGAACGTATGTAATTTGCTTGTCTTACTTCAGTGCAAGTCATTGCTTGTACTATGTAAGAAAGGCTTAGCACATTGCCATTTAGAGACCGAGGTTTATTTCTTCTATTAGTCTGTAGTTCTTAGAAAATCTCCTGTTCCTTTCCTGAGACCCCAGTTCTTCAAAGACTTAATAGATGTGCTTAACTTTATGCACTGCGAGTAGTCTTAGTGAAGTCACTAGGACTACTTTCAGCTTACAGAGTTAAGCATGTGAATAAATCTCTACAGGATCATGGCCTTGCATTGCATTGGAAGTTGGGGCAGTGTTTGAAATTTAGTATACTGTATATACCCTGTGTACATTTATTATGGTTTTTCTTTAATTGTGAACTTCTCAGAAAACTTTTATTACAAAAGTCATAGTTTTTATCTAATTTGTTTTTAAATTATAATTTCTACTGCATTTATTATTTATTTGCCTTTATTTTAGGACTTGGACTTCATTCGGTTCATCATCAACTGTTTTAAAGTTTATTATCCTAATTACCTCTGTAAGTAATGTATATTATCCTTTCTAAGGGGATACAATTTTATAGACATTGTATTATCCAATATGTTATTTTACTATATAAATATTTATAACTGATAAGGAGAGATGGGTGTGTTTGTTTTGTTTTTTTAAGGTTTGTAAATATTACTTTTTGCATGTGTGGACTGTAAAGGTAAAACCAAAATAAAGTCAAGATATGTGTTTGACATGCCCCTCCTGTATATCACATGATAGAACTTCTCCCAAATAATACCTAGAGCATATATTTTGGAAGAACATCCAATCTTTGTTTAAAAATTGTCAGTGATGGGAGAACCCATCACAATCATTGGTAAATTGTTCCAATGGTTAATTAATCTCACATTTAAAAATTGACACCTTATTTCCAGTCTGGACTTAGCTAGCTTCAACTTCCAGCCATTGGATCGCATTATACCTTTCTCTGCTAGACTGAAGTGTGCATTATTAAATATTTGTTTCCCCATGTAGGAATTTACAGAATGTGATTCAGTCACCCATAACTTTTTCTTTGTTAAATAGCTAAATAGATTTAGCTCCTTGAGTCTATCATGAGGCAGGTTTTCTAATCCTTTAATCCAGGGGTTCTCAAACTGGGAGTCAGGACCCCTCAGGGGGTCATGAGGTTATTACATGGGGGGTCGCGAGCTGTCAGCCTCCACCCCAAACCCCGCTTCACTTCCAGCATTTGTAATAGTGTTAAATTAAAAACACTTTTTATATTTATAAAGGGGAGGTCATACTCAGAGGCTTGCTGCGTGAAAGGGGTTACCAGTGTAAAAGTTTGAGAACCACTGTTTTAATCTTTCTGGGCTCTTCTCTGAACCCTCTCAATTTTTTAACATCCTCCTTGAACTGTGGGCGCCAGAACTGAGCACAGTGTTCCAGCAGTGGTCACACCAGTGCCAAATACAGCGGTAAAATAGCCTCTCAGCTCCAACTTGATATTCCCCTGTTTATGCATCCAAGAATCCCATTAGCCCTCTCGGCCACAGCGTTCACTGGGAGTTCATGTTCAGCTGATTGTCCACCATGACCCCCAATTCTTTTTCAGAGTCAATATTATAGTTGTGTTGTTGCCCTCCTTTCTTTGTCCATTTCTGTCCCTTTCCTCTTCAGTTTCAGGGTTTGGCCAAAAGTTGGAAGATACTGCAATGACAGTTGCCACTCTGTAACAGCCAAGAGGCTAAAGATTGAGTGGAAATGGACTCTCCCCATTATCTCAGAGATGATCCCTCCATGACAGAGTTGAGGCATATTGGTGGGGCTGTATGGGGGAAAACTTGCACATTGTCCATGTTAATCTTCATTATGAATAGATACAAAGCTTCAGCCAATACTGCCATTTTTCTCTTCCATGACTTCTACTTTCATTTTTTTTTCAAGTGAAAATGTAGCTATGAACGTTTTAAAGTTTAGCTGTTTGAGTGGCATTTCATTTCTTAAAATAGAAGGTACCATTCTGTTATAGTTGCTAGTATTTTGAACTGTTAAAAATTAGTGTAGTAATTTCACACAATGATAAAGTTGTTATAATAAAGGTGCATATTATTTGCATCTTTTATCTGCCATGGCAGGGAGGGATAGCTCAGTGGTTTGAGCATTGGCCTGCTAAACCCAGGGTTGTGAGCTCAATCCTTGAGGGGGCCACTTAGGGATCTGGGGCAAAATCAGTATTTGGTCCTGCTAGTGAAGGCAGGGGGCTGGACTCGATGACCTTTCAGGGTCCCTTCCAGTTCTATGAGATAGGTATATCTCCATATATTATATTATTTAATACACTAATTTAAATGAATTCTTTGAATTCAGGATGTGGGTAACTATTCTGACTCTTTTGGGATAATTTTGCCTTTTTTTGTATACCAAAACAATACATGGTATAGTTTCCAATGGGCTTCCTAATACTTCTGTTCATCTTACCATAGGGATAGTTTTGTATACGTTGATTATTATTTGACAAATGGAGGAAAGCTAATTTTTTCCTAAAGAAAGTAAGCATAGAAACTGAGTGTTCCACTTTTAATAATCCTCTAATATTAACACTTTCTCCCCTTTTTTTTTGTTAATTGCAATGAAAGATATTATATATTATCTCTTTTTCCTATTGTCTTTGCAGCAAAGATAGTGATCTTTGAAATGCCATGGATAATGAATGGTAAGTTAAAGTAAACTAAAAATATTTGTAATTTTCTGTAATAAGTTTAAAAAGCCCTGTTCTGATATATTAATTCAAACATAAACTGATTTTTGGGGGGGGTTATAAAATGTTTTTAATGTTCTTGTGTGTATATATAGAAATATATAATTAATGCATAGGCCAAATTCTTCTTTTAGTTAAGCACATGGTACTTTACATTTGTCAATTAGGGCATTGAATGCTTTAGTGTGCAGCTTCCTGGCATGTTGTGCTGTGACTCAAAGATTAAATAAATAGTCGTCTTCAAAGTGCAGATCAAGACCTGCATCCACCTCGCCACATTCATATCTTGGAAGCCCTTAATATGCAGATTACTTCTTGAAGCATCCATTTTCTTGGTTTCCTGAACCCCAATCCACTCCAGGTCCAGACTTGCTAGGCTTGGTAAATGTTTTTCTGCTATGGCCAAATCCAAATAGTGCAGTTATGCTGGTTAGGGTATATGCATAGATTCATAGA